AAGTTGAAACACAAATGATGACCAATACTTTTTGAGAGCAACAGTTATATTTCAGATCTATTTCATACATATTTCCATCTTCTAACTAAGACTAAAGTTTATAGATTTTGTGTGTAATGTGAAATCTAATAAAAGATTGTCAGTTTCTACAGAGTTGTTAGTACTACCTATCATAACTAGAAGATTATTTTTGGAGCTTTGATAGTGTTTCACTATTTGTTATTTACATAAGTTTGTGTTTATTAAAATTCTTGAGCTGGTCTCCCATTTAAATAAAATATTTGGAATATACTTCAGCAGAAACAGTGAAACCTGTAAAATATGTGCTCGTAAATGTTCGTTGATATTTTCTTCTAACCAAAGGGCTCTGATCATGAAACACAAGATAACCCCTTATTACGGGACCTCAATCTGGTGGCTTATTCAAATTTATTTACTTTTAAATGTTGAAAATAGTTTCAATTCTATTATCTAAACATCATAAAGTTTCCAGTTTTGCAATATTCACTTTCTGTATGATTGGACTGAAGATAAATATACTTGAAGTCTGACATATTTGCTGGAACCATTGTTATCGAGAAATAGAGTTAAACAGGAATCACTGGATATCAGAGAAGACTGTCTCAACAATAATCTGGATACTACAACAGACTTTTATTGATCTGATAGTTATTCCACGGTGAAACTATAAATGTAAACTTAAAAATCCACTAAAAGAACCAGTAGTCTCCAGTATGTTGTTTCTTGTGTTGTAATGTATCTTTTGTTAATGGATAATTAGTGACTTCTGTCAAGTGTAATCTATTACTGATTATTTCTTTAAAGTTTTGTTGTGTACGTAATTTAGTCTTTTGAAATAGTGAATGCAATAACAAGCCTCATCCTAAAATTTATCATCATACAATTATAAAGTGGAAGTCGAAGTGTGACCTGAAAAATGAACTCTGAAGGCCACACATAACTTAGTCAACTTTAGTTATGCTATACTGACTTTTGATAAACAATGACACGAATAACGCATTCTGATACTAAACAAACAAAGACTGAATAACTGGTGAACTATAAATCAATGTGTACAGATGTACGAGAGATATTCAATTTGTTTAAAGTGAACTAATATCGACTGAAAATTTGCTCACAGATACCTATTTAATTAAAATCAATTTACATCATTAAAACCCATCAAATACAAATGAATTGACCATTTAGAATCAATGTATTCTGTTTCCAAGTTAGGTCGATTTTATCAATTTCAGACTGGGAAATAAATGACAACAAACAATAGTTCACATGAGAATAAAAGGTTTTCGGATGCGAAATTGTAATATAATTTAGGTTGTAAAGTTTTAAGGAAAATAATCCATACAGATAATTGGGGTAGCGAATAAATTTAATAATCCATTGTAATTATAAAGCTAATTTTTCAGTTTCTTTGGAGTAAAAACACATTGAGCAGAAACACAGGAATCACTAATGAAAAGACTTTCTTTGAAACTTGTCCGACTCATCACGGAACGATGTTAAGAAGCCCGAATACATGTAAATAAAAGCTTACCTTATCTCACATTGAACTGTATGCAACAATTTACACATTTATGTCTAAGCAAGTCTATTAGGATCATAGTAATGTGAATCTCTGCATGTGTAATAGAACAGAGGTGAAATAACATTTTTTGAACGATAGAAGTCATATTTATAGTTTAAGTGAGCTAATTCTGTCAAAAAATTAATTCAGTAACTCATATCTCAAACTTACGAATAATGAAGAAATATCATTTATGTATTTCCACTGCAAGAATTAATACACAGTGGTGACTCACAAACCTTCTAAATGTCAGTAATGGGGTCTGTGGTGATTTCTGAGTTTGATTGCAATCACGAATCAACCTTAGTCAGACAATCAGCGTAAACCATGAAATCTGTGAACCCACTGTGGTTAGAACACAGGCAATTCAGATCACATGACGAGTGTCAAGTCTTTATTCACTAACCCGGAATCCAATAGTTGAATTGTTTAATTTAGTCAATTCACGATATTACGCACTGGCAGATGGTTTCTTTTAGCTCGTTGGTAACAACAGATATATTTTTCGCTTTTGTTTAAAGGAACACTGATGTACCATTGTAATGAATCTAACCACGGGTTTTAGAACTTTTGAATGGTATTTCTAAAAGGAATTAAATGCAAAATAATTTTGAAGTATAAAATCTCACTTAATTAAATCATCTTTCAAATGTGTTTTAGTATGAATTTTACTTAAAAATTGAATTACTTCTCAAACTTACTGAAATGCGTATTAGAAAATGAAATTAATGAACATTTAATTAATTGAAGATACTCTTGAAATAATCTAGTATGGTGTGGATTATGATTAGCTTGGATATTTTAGAGGGATGGAAAGTTCTTATCCACAATAATAAACATATTCAAATTGATAATACATTGAGTTCTTTCAAAATGCATAAGGATTTAATCCTATCTATCGGCTTAAATCTATGTATCATTCTGACCATAATGATTATGATGTGTTGTCCATTCATACAGATCAGGTTTATAAGCGGAATCGACGAAACATTCACAATTTTATTTTATATTTTTAAAAATGTCATTATAGTCATAATTTTGATTATAATATTTTGACTTGTTGGATATGGTACGAAAAGAAATCTGGCATAGCGCCCACTTTTTTACAATAAACAAAAAAGCCCCCAAATGACCTGGTACTGTCGGGGGTGGGGAGAGTCAGCTCTTCCTATCAAAATGCTCTCACATTGTCACGTGTATACAGCCACTACCAGAGAAGTCATACTCACTGCCTTCTCGCGGCACTGCTGTTGTTTATGAAATTGAGAGGACGAAAAGCGAATGTTTGGCGCATTAGTCGGGTTGGTGGACATGGAGAATTCACCTATGGGAGTTGGAAAACACTGATCCCAAACCAATGATGCACATGGGCTCTAGTATCCCAAATGAACAAATGGCGTATGAACCAAATATTGGTCACTGGCTTCCATGGGACTGCATCTGCTGACTTCACTACACTGCATTGTGGGTCAGATCTTTAGGTGGGAGGGTGTGTGTATGGCCCCTTAAGAAAACCACCTTCTTCGTTTTGGACACTCGTGCAGTATCACAGCCTATACACAAATCAAGTGACTTGTGTTGCGTATATGTATTTGGTGCCCCTTTGTATCAATATTTATGTGTTCAAATAAATAAATGAATATAATCAAAAAGTGGTGAGACTATAATGTATGAATGACCTTTGAGCGATGCTAAACTGACCTTGAAAATGTTCACCTACTTACTAGGGCGAAAAGAGTGCTATAAATTAGTGCGAGGTATTAGGATTGGGATTTATAGTTGAACGTTAAGGTTTGGAATTTGTGTAGGTATTTTCATTACGAACTGACATCAGCCACAAATCCGAAATTGTATTCATTCATATGAATGAGTGAATTTCGTGCTAATATCCAATATTTGTTATCTTAAATCTGATTGATTCGTCCCCAAATTATAGTCTCGTTCAAAATGTCCGAAGTGATATTAACTGAACATTTAATTCGAGTATATTTTCTTCTCGTAACTGTTGTTTAGTTTAAAGGAATAAAAAAACTTTTATCCACGAATTTGTGTTAATTTGCTTATGAATGCTTTAATAGTAATTTATTTAGAGGTGATAAAATAAAGCGTTAACCTGTAAGGATAGTGAATATGAGAGACTAAACTATGGTTTTATTCACAATAGGGTCTTCTCTACCAAAAATTTAATGCTGAAGTGTTTGAATGTTGCATGATCTAGCTTTCCTTTAATCCTCATTAATCTAACAAAAGTATATACCAATAATATATACATCAGTGACCAAAGTGTCGCAGTCTTCAAGTCAATTCATAACTATTTCTATGGTCCTTCAAACAACAAGCATTTCAAACGGACATATTGGTAAACTGACATGGTTCGAAGATTTCTTTATGTAACTATTATAACCAGTAGTTTTTGTGATAAGATTGAAAGTGGATAGTTGTGCCCAAATGAATGTTTGACATCTTTCCTTTGAAAATTTTCGCAGTTGAGTAAAAAGACATAAAAAGAATCAAATCTTTTTGCTCCTCCACAAGAAGGTAACAGGATTAAGTAAGTAAGTAAGTAAGTAATTAAGTAATTAAGTAAGTAAGTAAGTAAGTAAGTAAGTAAGTAAGTAAGTAAGTAAGTAAGTGAGTAAGTAAGTAAGTAAGTAAGTAAGTAAGTAAGTAAGTAGGTAAGTAAGTAAGTAAGTAAGTAAGTAGGTAAGTAAGTAAGTAAGTAAGTAACTATATCCAATGTTGTAATAGTTCAGCTGAATTTTCTTTGATTCAGGGCCTCATAAATCATATAACAATTCTGATTATAATCATTAAATTTTATAACATCATGTTTCTCTCTCTTCACTAAAACGATTACTTCCTATAAGTATATACATATCAAACATCATGCAGCGTAAGTAAATAATAATTTTAATAAATAAATATTAATAAAAAGAAAATCAAAATATCACATTTATCTTCATTATAAATTTACTTTCAATAAAACATCAGATTTATGTTTACTTGTATAATCAGATTTTGTTAAGTAAATATTATTTCATAAAATATTAACGAAGTAAATTTCTTATAAACTTAAATGATTGACAAAAATATACCCATTAGGTGCTTTACATGTTTTTTTTTTGTTTTATTCTTAAAATACAGCCACACATAGTTGTTATGACTGATCATGTTGACAATACAAGAGTAGTTTATTTTGTATTAAAGTAACTGCTTATCATATCGGTCTTTTTTTTTTACAAAAAACAGTCGAATTTTCCCCCTACGATGATATAACAGATTTTTTTCATCAAATGTTAGTTACTTAAAATGAAAGGGGGGGGGGAATATCGAATTCAGTATTTGAAATGTAATGATAGTTTAAGTAGCAAATATATATATATATATTATACTATAATTGTTGTCTTTTGTATGTATGCAGGTAAGATTATTTGCTTTTGAAGGAGAAATATTGCCTTACAAAGCAAATATCAAAAACATATGAATATATACATCCATTAAGTTACAACCAATGATGATATACCTATAGTCACAATAATGTTAGATTTTGGATAACTTTAAGATGACCAGAGGCAAAAGTTGATATCGAATTTAAAATTGGTATCGTTATTAATTCCTAATAGTGCATAAATGAGTACAAACTTTGGGTAAATTATTATTCGACAATCTCCACAACTTCAAACCGAAAATTATCATGTGTTCCCTAGTGACTAGTATCGAGAGAATATTTCTTGTGTTGTAGTGAATATCCGTCACCAATGGAGTTCAGTCATGTTGGCTATGAAGCAGTTACTCATCGAAGACGATGGAAGATGATCGCAAGATATGGTAAATTGATTGAATTTATAGATTAACACTGTTGGATCCCGGTCCAATGATCTGAAGGTTAAGCGTTCGCGCGCGGGACTAACTACTGAGTTAGATTCCCACGTGCAAGATTGTGGATGAGCACTGCTGAGTAGTACAATACCAAGACAAAACGACCTTCTAGTGGTTTCAGGTTTTCATTAGTGGTCTAACATTGATAGGTTCATGATTTTAAAAAATTCAACAATCTCCACAACTCCAAACTGAAAATTGTTATTTTCGCTGGATGAATCAACTATACATTAAAGATATTTTATTTGCTGATCAGGATACTTTATTTATGATCTAGTGTAGATGGAATAGAAAATTTATCATTCACTATAGTACTATGATTTTTCATAAATTAAGTTTCTGAACATTAGTGTAAAAGAAACGTGACAGTAATGCCTACAATCTTCATGATATATACGTTTTACTACCATACTTTTTTCAAACCATACTTCAGTCCTTTTTACAAAGATGTGAAATGTTATGTTGTCCAAGATTTTATATATATATATATATATATATATATATATATATATGTACTTGAAGATCAGACCATTCCTGGTTGCTCGCTAGTGACATTCTTATTTGGCTAATTCTGATTGACTCACTATATCATGGAAAATATTACAAATTTTAATTTTAAAGAATGTTCTTATGTGGTGTATAAAACGTTTGGATTGTTTATCCACAGTTAGTCAGAAACACCTCAATTTCTGATAAACGGTATTCAATATATACAAAATTATTCTCGAATAGAATTTTCAGTTTCGAACTAAATTCAGTGATTTCACCCGTTACTTATGCCTTGAATGACATGTATTCAGAAATCAACAACACAGTGGTTGCATTCACAATCTCTAGTAAGCTACACTAACTTACCGACGACAATAAAATATAGGTTCTTACAGCTAAGTAGACAACTTCTAACTGCATAACACGGAATAAAATGTTTATGCAAATAACTTCGAAGCAAATTACATAAAATTAATATAATGACAAAAGAAGTATACTTCGACTAATACACAGTGAATTAACTTAACATGAGATGACATGAATTTGAAATGAAGGAAAACTGAACATTTTTCTATGTGCACCTGAACTTCGCATTGAACTTTTTATCGACATTCTGATCAGTTTAATGGCATATCTTAAAAAAGCATGTAAACTTGACAATTATGAAACAATGCTGTTCTCATACCGTAACAAGAGGAATCAAGATTCTTTAAATTAAGGATATTTTTCGTTCGGTTGTTCGTTTACTCACTTTGGCCTTTCTAAACTTCTAAGCTACTTAATCATCAACTTCTCAGATGTCCAAAGAAAATCTGAATTTAATTAAATTAGGTACTTTAACTCTGACCTTAAAGTATTCAAAAGCTATTAAAAAGCCGTTACAATTCAGCCAGAAACATATTGCTTCTAAATTCAAGTAGAGTTATCAAAGTACCAAGCGTACTTTTTTCTCACTGCATTGTCTTTGCGAGAACGAGTAGTGGTCATGTAAAAATTAATTTACTGAATAGATCGCAAGATAAAGAAAATACCATAGGGATGAAACAGGCCAACAAAGTATGCGAATGAAAATTTAGTGCAGCTTGTCACTTTTGAAAACATGTTCTTCTGTTCATTATTTGTCTGTTTACCAACTACACAAAAATTTGGTACAAAGCTTTAAGGAATTATAGCCCTCAGAGTTTATGTCTCAGCAACAAGATTTAAAAGTGGCAAAATAGTAACAAACTATAATATTTGTTTCAGTATTTACAAACATACAAATAAACTAGAACTACATTATAGAAGGAGGCTGAATTGATAAATCAGATTGTCTCACAAAGGTTTATTCATGTTTCAGACCGCCCTAGTGCAAGTAGGAAATTTGATCCCGCTTATGCAAGTCTGTAAGTAAAACTTCAATATTGAAAATATTAACATAGAAAGTTATTATTTTGGCCATCTTAAGACTAAGACTCATAAAAATTGATGAAAGTTCATCTTTAGCACTGTACTAAGTAGCAAACGGAGTGATGACATTACATTATTTTATAAGCAGAGTCGAACAGTGGCTAGTAGTAGAATTCAGGATGTCCGTTTCGTCCTATTTGGGACCCACCAGCTGGATGCACATGCAATGTTCATAATCACATCAGAACAGAACGATACTTTGTATCAAATAAACTATTCCAACTTCGAAAAATTAAAAATATTAGAAAACAGTCAGTAGGAACCAAGCTTGTATTTACATTATGTGTTTATCGCACATAAATGACCTACACATATTACTAGCTTTTCACAATTTGAAATAAAGGAACCCTAATAGTTACATTCATATGTCGGTTAAAGCTAAACCACAGTTGTGAACCTGGAAGCACTGAACGGCTGTTTCGTCTTAGTATGAGACTCATAAACAATGTGCATTCACTAACTCGCACGCGAAACTCGAACCCAGGACTTTCAGTCTCACGCACGAACGCTTAATCTCTAGACTACTGAGCCGGCATCCATCTGTGTTAATATATAATTTCCATCGATCCACGAATGACTTTGCAAGGATTCATCGATTGTCTGACGTAGATATCTATCTCTACCCGACACAGACTGGACTCCACCAGTTACGGCATCTCATTAGAACTCCTGTGCTTTCAAGTTTTCAATGCTAGTCTAGCTTACATCGACCTATGAATTCAACTATTAAAATACTATAATCTCCACAAACCCCATTCTGATAAAAAAAATAGAATCATCCATCCAAAAATAATTAAACTAATAAATTCTAACCTAACATTAATTTTGTAAAGCTATTAGTATTAAATCGCAAAAATATAAGTTAAATCACCTATCTCATTATTAATTCATTGACAAATATGATTCTAAAGTCAATTTAGAAATGAAATTAATCATCAATTATTATTAAGTAGTAATGTGACAATTAAACAATTCAGATAAATATAAAAACTAATACAACTCACTAGATTTAAATTGAAAACATAATTAGATGGATTGTTTTTATCCGAAAAGTTTATTTGAAATTAAATAAGCATGAATAAATATGAGTTTTCAATAACAAAAATAACGAATAAAATAGCAAGTAATAGTTAGTAGTTTGTGTAATATTTGAAAAATTAAACTTAATAAACTTCGATAATATTTATCAATTTACTTGCTCATGTGAAGCCAGATATATAGGTCGTTCTATGAGTACATTATTATTATTATTATTATTATTATTAGCTTTATTCAGTATTATATTTTTGGTACAATATAGAATTCTCAGCGTAGAGTATTTCAACAAGTTTCCATTTTTCCCTTCTTGGTCGGTCCTAGCGATAAATATTGAGTGATCGCCAGTTAGACGTTAGCAGATCAGTAAATGAACATCTGAATAATGTGCATTCTTTTCGCTGTATATTGCCAGCAACCACATTGGCTCTTATTGAGTTTTTTGTAACTTTGACAACGAAAGGTTGTACAGTTTTCAGAAACGCAGCAGAATACATCATGTGATTAATAAACATATTGATATATTAAAACAAATAAAAATAGATAACTTGTTGAAATATCTTGATGGCAGGAACAGGTAGCCCAGATGCTTAAGCAGGCCGCCTTTTGTCGTTCTGTGAGTACATTATCCAAAAGAATTCAAGAACATTATCCGGCGTGGTTAAGAAGGAGAGGAAACGGCTCATTAAGAAGTTCAATAAACGAAAACATTATGAACATAGGTCAGACTATGCGTTTAAAGTCATCTACAAAGTAAGTAGAAGTCTTCCAAAGACATTTGTATTGCATCTTTTTAGTATTGCCGGAGCAACAGCTATACATCTGGAGAAGCCAGAATTGTATGTCCACAAGTGATTGGTACAACCTCTTTTTTTACCATGGTCTTAATGTCTTATTTTCTTTTTTTTATCCTCTTCTTCCTTTATAGCCATCTGCTTCACCTTCCATCTTCCCCTTAAATCTTCTACACCCAACTGGTTTATTTCTGTTTCTACGATCCTCCTGATTAAATTTAATCTCAATTTCAACATTTTATCTTATCATGCTGATCCATCCTTTCTCATTGATAATTTCCACATCTATCTTTTGATGAATAATTAAGCCATTAACAATCGAACGATTATTTTTTTTAATATCTTTGTTTATTTTACCTCACTATCACTATGTCTAACAGACGTTTATTGTCATTATTATTGTAATTATTATCATCCTGAAAAAAATTACTATATATATTTGTGATTGTACAGCTTTGAGAATGAATTCGCCGGAAAGAGAACTCTTCGCTGAACCAATCTTTCGTATTTAATATTAAAAAACACTGTTAACCATTTTACGAATATGTGAACATCATTCTTTTTTGACGCTGATTAGATTCTGGAATAAAAAAATTGGTAATACACAATAATCTTTACAAAAACAATAGTTGGCACTCATAAATGCTTGACAATTCAGATTTTGTTTCACCAAAGATCATTGAAAAGCCTAGGATGATCTTAAATTCATCTGAAAAGAAAAAAATAGTTTTCTGGAGAATCAATAAGCCAAAGGAAAAATATCAGATTTAGTCACCGTGAATGTATGATTAATGAAGATTAGGCAAAGAATGTTCATTTCATTATGTTTGGTATTGTTAGTTACTGTAAAAAAGTTGGGAGAATGTCACATAACTTAAAAGTACCTGGTGATGTTAATTGCAATCTAATTACAAAACAGAAAAAAAGGAAACGATGTCACTAATCAGTCTTAACACATTATTTTAAAATACCTAGTAAGTTTATGAAGTAAACTAAAAAAATCATCTATACTGTTATTATATTAGTGGACGTTATAACGAACTCCATAGAACACTTCATATTTTCGATGATTTTATTTATTACTAACATTACTAAACATTAAGTAAACATAAATGTTCTGTTTAATAGTAACGTGCTTTTACATTGAATCTATTAATTATATGTGTTTTGGAAGCTTAGTCTTGAGATCGCAGTTTTTAAAATACTCATCGTTTTCAAAAATACATGACGCCATATATTCTGGGCATAATTTTTATTACATCTTTATAAACTTACAAGATTCTGAATGTCTCCTTGTAAAAGGAATAAAAAACAAGTGAACTTTAGAAAGTCTTCCTAGCTTGTCGTTTCAATATTCAAAGTAAGTTTCTGAAAAAAATTAATCTTAATTCGTGCGACAAAACTCAATGGACATTATGGAATAGTTCTACATAAAAAGCATACTTGAATTTGATGTAATCAAAATGTTGAAAGTAATAAGATAGATTCATTACGCTTATTGTTTTAACCAATTGGATAATAGATAATTTTGTAAATTGTGTTATTTAGAATAACATAAATTGTTTTAGTCGTTACCATAAACTACTTTGTATTTAATTATTATGTAACAATCGAAGTTAGATATCAACACCTTTGCATACCGGCCAGTTCAGTGGTCTAGAGGTTAAGTGGTCTTTTGCGAGACCGATAAGTCCTGGATTCGAATCTCGCGACGCGAGATCACGGATGCATTCTGCTAAGGAGTCTCGCAATAGGACGAAATGGCCGTTCAGTACTTCCAGGTTTCCAATAGTGGTCTAGCTTGAATTGACTCATCATGTCAACTATTAAAAATGTTTTATTTTTGAAAGAAAACAAATAATTAATTTTTATTTATTACTAATTAGTTGTGTATGATTGATTGGAATCAACAAATATTCATACATTAGGTGTAGTTCATCTCATATATATATATATATATATATATATATATATATATATATATATATATATATATATATATATATATTATATATATATATATATAAACCGAAAATAACGATAGCAAGAACTGGAGTAAAGTTGTTTTCTTTCTAATTAAACTAGCCATATCAGTTATGCTTCATTAAAGTAACTTCTTGTTGTTTATTTATTACACTTCAATAGTATCCGCTTTCAAGAAATATTGGTTAACCAATGATTGATGATAAGTTGTGATATATATATGAACTAATAGAAAGAAACTACTATGAGAAATGTCAAAAAACGAATAATTAATTTAGTATAAATATGAATAAATTATTTTAGAAAACAGAAAATGTTTGTTCGTATCAAATTATTGTTTTTCTTTCATTAATAGTGTGATAGTAATTTCTTGTTACCACCCCCCTGCTGCACCTTCACCCTCATTGTTCAATCAAAAAAAAATAATGAAGTGTACTAATCAAGATATGCAATCTGAAATTATTAAAAAAGAAACTATTACTACTATTCTTACTAATCATCATATATAAACTTAAATAAAATACATCAGTAAACATTAGATGATCACATCCCACTCACTTTTCTTTTTAGTCAACCGAATTAGCTAAGTAGTAAAACAGAATGAAGTTAACTCAATTACATCTGATATCACTACATGAGTTAGTCTATCTGATCTCAAACTAAAATCTCATTGGTTAATCTATAGGTGATAATAGTTAATTCCCATCTCAATTTTTTAAAAAAAATGTTAAAAAAACAACAACAAATAAATAAAACTATTCAGTGCTTTCAACATTATTTGTAGATTCGTGACCAGTAAATTCAACATTGTTTAAACAAATTAACTCCATATATCTATATAAATAGGAAATTACTGTGACATTTTAATTTATATTACACAAAACAGTTTCATTTAATAACTACATCAAAGTGCTCATGTAAGTAGTATGAATAATAATGCAGCGTCTTTTTTAAAGGTTTCATTGTTTTCTGTTAATATTCGCTTAGTAACTGGTTTATTGGGCTAGTAATAATAAATTGTAATATAATTAAAATGAATTAATATTTGGTATAAATTGACAATAAGACAATATACAAATATAGAATAATTCGTGATAAATATTTCCATATTACTTAATAATCGGTATTAGTAGAATTCTATAATTGAGTTTATCAAGATTGATTATGTGTTATCAAACTGTAGTAATTTTCATTTAATAAATGAGTCTTCATACTGGGTATACTTCAATCAGTGGATTAAACAAGTTTATTTTGAATTAATTTTGAACTATATCAATATTCAGTTGTATAGAACTGACTTGTTTTATTACACTACCTGAATAAACTTATGTTTATATGTATTCTAGTATCCTATGATTTTTAACAACTCGAAAATTAGGTTCTTTCACATAATGACCCTGTTGACAGTAAATAGCAGTAAACTGTCATTTTATAAAGATGTTTCTGCTTTTAAAGTTTGTATTAAGGTGATGTAGATTGAAATAACTTTTTCAAATAAAACTTACGAGTGAAATAAGTGATTGTTTTAAACCATGCACCATTGATTGTTAAGCCACAATAAAATAATTTCAAATGTGGTAAAATATTCCATTATATCTATTAACAGGGTTTCATTCAAATTTACGCCTATAGTTTCTGTTTGTTTGGTCAGCCGTGTTACAAATCGTTTTTAATATCGTTTTGAAGTTGATTTATCTTCAGTTTTGTTGTTTATTCTACAACAATTAACTTTAGATATACTTACATAAGAAAATACTTGGTTAGATATATGTTTATGATTTCTTTTCGCTTAGTATTTTGCGAAAGTGTTTTCATAAATTTCTAAAACTCTTAAAATGAAAAACAATCGGCCTGTTACAAATCTTTGGTCCACATTACTTTCAATAATGAATAATTGATAAAACACATTACCAGCTCGTTTTTACTTCTTTCCAGTGAAATAGTTATCGATATTACTTAAGAATCCTAGTCAATAAGTATAATTATTTAAAGCTGGGCACTAAGATAACTGTTACCTAAATTCATGAAATTGAATTAAGAAGATCAGATATGTCTAAGTACTGGTAGTGTAGTGAACGTGAACACAGAAGAGGAAAAAATCGAATGTATTTAAACTTAAAATTACAGAATTTCTTAGCAAAATATGGGAACCATGCAGTAAATACTTCATTTGCAAAATGTCAGTCAATTGTCTTACACTTCACTGTTCCTTCATTTCCACAGCAATCATTCTCTCTCCTCATACTCTTATTTTTTATCTTCTTAACCTTCTACCACCAGCCATTTCACCTTCTTTTGTTGATACATACTACTTATATCTGTCGATATCAGTAGCACACACTATATTAAGCACCAGTGAGTTGAATATGTTAAATACGTTTAGATGTTTATGTCATGTTTATCAATAAAACTCTACTAACATTTTGTCTTCCTTTAGATATGAGGATTTAGTATGCATTCATTCATAACCTTTTTGTATCCTATTCACAGTTTTAAAACTTCTTCATTAAAACTAATACTAAACTGTTCTAAACCCTTTAGAATTCATTTTTTCTAGTCAGTCTTGTTGTATTAAGTTAACACATTGATGTTGGCTGACGGATATTTTAATTGCTATACATTGACTGTGATTTGTTAGCTTTTATTTAAATATTCATTGAGATAGAAATAATTAAAAAACTGTAATATATCTTAAAGCCGTAAAAGTCAATTTTCTCTTTCGTGATAACCATTTAAATCGTAAGTTACATCTCTATTTTTGAAAGTTTCAATTCGATCACAAAAACTGTTTCATTCAGTTTGTGCGTATATATCCCTTTGAATTTGGATCAGTTCATTGGACTTATAGTAATTTGATTAGTACGACTTGATGTTCCATAAAACTGTTAAGTTATCAAACTTCATTGATCGTTTCGGACTTTGCCCTTAACAAGATGGTTTTTAATAACACAAGTTATAGTAAATAACTGTTTTGACAATTTTATAAGAAGAGATTATACATTATATATGATGAATAAATATCTTCACAAAAAGTTATTCCAACACTTTTTCACATGTCAGTAGCAATTTTCTACAGTTTTAATAACTACTTAAATGATATTTATTTTTAATATTTAAGTAATAACTTTTGTTTCAGGGTGTATAAAAATTTTTTCAATGTTCAATATTACTGTAATCATGAGAAAATGTTTTTATTTGACTATATCTACATGTTCAAATGCTATGATTGTTGTTTTATTACAGAAATTTTACAGTGATGAGCTTAAGCACAGATATTAGCTTAAAGTTGTCATAGATTAGGAGAAATTCTAATTTTTATTATAACATCTGATGAGACAAATAATATTTTATATATCAGTAAAGGGTTGTAAAAGTTGTTCATATTTACTAAAATCATGAACCAATCAGTGTTAGACCACCATCGAAAACCTGAAGCAAATGGACAGCTGAATCCACCTAGTATGGGACTACTCAGCAGTGCGCATCCACGATCTTGCACGCGGGACTAGAAGATGGTCATGCATCATCGTAGATTGGTTGAGGTTAGGCATTAAGATAGTTGGATGCCGGTTTAGTGATCTAGCGGTTAAGCGTTCGCTCACGGGACTGACGGTACTGAGTTAGATTCCCACGTGCAAGATCGTGGATGCGCACTGCTGGGGAGTCCCATACTAGAATGAAACAGCCGCCCAGTATTTTTAGTTTTTCAATGGTGATCTAACGTTTATCGGTTCATGATCTCTGATAAGCTAGACAATTAGATAAAACTATGTAAACGGAATTCACTCAAAAATAGTGATAATAATGCTTATTTACTAAAAACGTATTACGTTTTTAGTGACTTCTGAGAGGAAACTAGGGAGATTTTATGCAATCTAACTATATTGACAGGTCAAATGTTCTATAAATCCCCTTTCCATGTGTTTTGTAAAACTAACTACTGAAATCAAAGTTTTGATTTCGTTTTTCTGAAATGCAATTTTTTTTTAAAATTTCAATTATTTTTTATAAGAAATTCGTTCTTAATAAAATAACAGAAAACTAGATTGATGGTTATTAAAAGTGCTTAGAGTGATAATATCACGGTTACCTGTCACGCATAGGATAAGATTATTTCTAAAACTCATCATTTGATCTACAGATAAACTTAAACATGCTAAAATCAGACGTGACTTTTATTTTACAGAGTTTGCATATAATGTCAATAAATTATGAGAAAACATTTTTCAACTATTTGAGTACAATAAAAAAAACATTTATACCTTATTTTGATGTAGTAAAATATGAATATCAATTAGCTCTTTTGCAATAAACTTACTTAGAAAACAATGGTGAATACTTAGAAATTACGGACCGATTTTTCTTGTATTCTTCATAGAGATCTTATATATATTAAAAAAGGAAAAGTGACTTTATAAGCCTAATAACATTAGTATACTGACATTGTGTACCAGACAATTGTAATTTCGTGATTATACTGTAGAACTATGAGAATGCAATATCGTATTATGTTCTAGGGAAAACCAGATTTCATTTATACTTTACGTACATTAAAATGCAAATTGTGACATTTCATTAATACTATCTAGAATGTATATAATTCTGATGGAGATATCCTTAAATTCTTTCAGATAGCAGTAGTAATTTATTCCAAATATGATACTAATTTAATGTTGTAATTTCACCAAAACTGTATTTTGAGCCTTCATAAAGTATCTGATGGATAAAATTTTGCATTCAATTCGAAATTGTTTGCTAATAAGAAATCTTCCAATTTAGTACATAGAATTAACTCATGAATATATTGATTTTTAACATAAACATATATTTTGATGGAGTTTAGTTCTCTGAGCTGGATGGTTTGGTCGTGGAGCTTTCATCGTTCTTCTGAACGATATCATCAGCACTTCACTTCTGTTTTGAGAACAAAACTCCATCAAAATCATTCAAATGAGCTACAAATCTTCTCTACCATCTCATAAACAGATATTAATAGTGTAAATTTAGTTAAATCTAAGTTTGATTTGTTGACTTGATTTAGCTAATATTTGTTATTATATATAATAAAAGTATATTTACTTTATGCAAATATCTTCAGTTATCAAAGTAAATACAAATAAATCAGCATAGATATGTAACGTAGTGTTTACCATTTGTTCTACGTTTTGATTTTATAACTGAGACAGTAATATTCTTGAGTTACATGATATAAGTTTGGATGTAAACTAGATCAATTACTCGTATTATTAGCCTTAATATTTCAAATGAAACTGCATATAGCCATTTATAGATTATAGGCAAGTACATATATCTGAAAGTAATTCACTAAATAACAATGAAATTCTCCATACTCAAGAAAGATGAACGATTTTGTTAAATAATTTAAAAGTATTCATTGCAAACGAATAAATATAATTATAAAGGTCATTTTGAATCTTAATTTTTTCTTCACAGTTATTCTGTATGATAGAAACCACAAATATTACCCATAAGTCGATCATCTCTATTTGCATAAACATCAGAAATCTAACACCGTATTTAACATTTTTTGAGTATTACTGTCTTTATTCTTAATTGTACAAAAATATTCGTCTCTTCAAATTTTTTTTCATTTACAAACGGGTGTATACGTCGATGTACCGTTATTTGTTGTCTACTCCAAAACTTTGATGAATTAAACCGTTATTCCATTTATGTCATTGACAGTGTTCCATAGTTTATGATGATAATTCTGTTTCATATTAACAATTACCATTTTACAAACAAACCTTTTCTTCAAATGTCTGTTATTGTGTCAATACTATAGTTGATAAGAGTTAAAAAGACCAACCTCTAAAAGTAAACGTTTATTCATATTATTCGTATATTTTCTACGATTTTATTCTACAAAATGTCGTGTAATATATATTTCACTATC